TCCAAACGTACACCTTTAACAGGCTTTTTCGAATTTCTAAATTAACCGTTCGCGAGCATAGAAGTGACTTTTTTATTAAATGCGACACGACCCTGTATCATTTATTGAAAAAAAATTGGATACATGTTAATTTCCATCGTGGTCTTCATTGATAATGACCACACTTGAATTCCCAAAGAAGCGACTTGAAAGCATCTTATTTCTTGTCCAGTAATGGCTTTTAACATTCTTCGATGCATTTTTCGAGTTTCTAACTATTAAAAATCATTGCCTAATAATCGTTACGATTGATAATACTCGGTCAATGACTGGAAAATTTATCGGTCGGATTGCGTCACCTGTATTTCCTCAAGCAAAAAGACTGCCCTAGCAACAGGGTGACATTGTGGCGCCGTCTTATTGATTTCCAGTCGTCCCAACGTGTTGCTTTTTACCTATTCATTTGTACAAAGAAAGGCTTGTTCAGAAGATCTATGTTTGACTAGGGGTGGGCTCTTTTATCGCCGCTTAAACAAAAGAAATACGAGTTGGGGGTGCGACCTCTAATCACACTTACATGTACCGATTGTTTTTCAACTCCCCAGTAGTGTATATTAGTAGTATATAATACACTTGCAATTTATAATGTGAAAAATATTAATGCAATCATTATGTACATAAACTTTTGATATGTTTTTATTGCTTCATTTTTGGGATGTGGCGTCACTTCTAAATATAGAAAATTTGGTTTAATTTTATAAAGCCACTTACGTTTACAGTATTGTAAACATTATTATTATTATTGAAAATCAACAGTTATCAGGCAATATTTATAATTTTTATCTTCTACTTCCACATAATTTTAATGAATTTGCATATCTTAAGTTGGCGTATCGTTATTTTCGATTAAAAAAAATTTTTTTTTAGAAAATGGGGCAGTTTTTGAGAAGAAGGCAAGTCCTCCCTCTCAAAAATGATACCTTTTAAACCGTATTCTTTAATATTTTTCACAAAACTAACTTCTTCTATATCCACGATGTTCGAATTAGGATTACGATTGGTAATGCTTTCGAAATAGATAAAAGTGAAATAGACTTTGACTTTATCAACGTCGAACGGTGCATTCAAAAGCCAGTTTTGTTATTTTTATGCCCCTGAATTTTACGGTCTTGACGAGCCTATAAACGAGACCGTTGACCCCCCGTTGCGGGGTTAATCCTTTCAACTGTGTAATGTGAACTTACAAATGCATGTATGCAAGTATGTAATACATGTATAGGTACATAATCCCACACATGCCTCGAAATAGCTACACATTTTTACACCTACATACTTATTAGGTACATGTCTTCATTAAACTATCCGCGCCCCAACTTACAGGATTTTTAAAAAAAAAAAAAAAAAACAGTTAATTGAATCTAATTTCGTTGGTGTTCAAAATTCAAATTGTAAAAAATGACTCTAATCTCGCGAAACAACCAACGATGTGTTCTATATTTGAAATTTCTTTATTGTAAAAGCATAAAAGCGACGTTTCGACTTTTGTTAATATGAAAACCCTTATTAAAACCAATTGTGATACTAGTCGACATTACATGCAAGCAATGATAGAAATTCGAGCTTGAAAATGACTCAAATAGACAGTCGAAACGTCGCTTCTATGCTTTTACAATAAAGAAATTTCAAATATAGAACACATCGTTGGTTATTTGGAGAGATTAGAGTCATTTTTTACAAAAAAAGAAACAGTTAAAATTTGAAATGCCTGGTGTTCGTCTAGGATGTCTTTTATATGTGATGACATTTGCTACTACTGTAGTGACTAAAGATGTTTTTGCGTAGCTAATTAGGAGAACTAGCGTGATGTGATTGTGAATGGGCATTAGTTTATTTAAATTAACTGTAAATTGGCTGAACAATTGCATTTGCTAAATTAATCTATGAATAAGTCTATAAGGAATGGTAAAGCCATTGAATTGTTTGTGTAGGTGGTACTTGCGATTTGTGAGCTTATGTAATAAGGAAATATGAAACAAAAAAGGGTTTTTAATTTTATGAAACTTTGAAAAGTTATTTGGAAATGTTTTAAAAATTATAATCACTCAAAAAATATGAAGGATTTTATGGGTCGATAGGAGTAATTGAAAGTGACCCTTAACAGTGGGTAATAAGTTTTCCAATAAGCTTTTATTAATTTGTTTATTGGTCCATCATCATCATCATCATAAGGTCGTCAGTCCTAAGACTGGTTGGACACGCACCTCCACTCTTTCCTATCCTGAGCTAAACTTCGCATTTCCCTAAAACTAAAACAACCCACATCCTTAACTANTACGTACGTACGTACATACACACATCATCAAAAAAATTGGCTAGCATGCTACTAATATGTTAAAACGTGGAAATATAATGAAAATTCCGATTTCACTTTTCGACCCAATTACAATAACTTCCTAATGGGAAGTTAAAAAAAACAGTTAATTGAATCTAATTTCGTTGGTGTTCAAAATTCAAATTGTAAAAAATGACTCTAATCTCGCGAAACAACCAACGATGTGTTCTATATTTGAAATTTCTTTATTGTAAAAGCATAAAAGCGACGTTTCGACTTTTGTTAATATGAAAACCCTTATTAAAACCAATTGTGATACTAGTCGACATTACATGCAAGCAATGATAGAAATTCGAGCTTGAAAATGACTCAAATAGACAGTCGAAACGTCGCTTCTATGCTTTTACAATAAAGAAATTTCAAATATAGAACACATCGTTGGTTATTTGGAGAGATTAGAGTCATTTTTTACAAAAAAAGAAACAGTTAAAATTTGAAATGCCTGGTGTTCGTCTAGGATGTCTTTTATATGTGATGACATTTGCTACTACTGTAGTGACTAAAGATGTTTTTGCGTAGCTAATTAGGAGAACTAGCGTGATGTGATTGTGAATGGGCATTAGTTTATTTAAATTAACTGTAAATTGGCTGAACAATTGCATTTGCTAAATTAATCTATGAATAAGTCTATAAGGAATGGTAAAGCCATTGAATTGTTTGTGTAGGTGGTACTTGCGATTTGTGAGCTTATGTAATAAGGAAATATGAAACAAAAAAGGGTTTTTAATTTTATGAAACTTTGAAAAGTTATTTGGAAATGTTTTAAAAATTATAATCACTCAAAAAATATGAAGGATTTTATGGGTCGATAGGAGTAATTGAAAGTGACCCTTAACAGTGGGTAATAAGTTTTCCAATAAGCTTTTATTAATTTGTTTATTGGTCCATCATCATCATCATCATAAGGTCGTCAGTCCTAAGACTGGTTGGACACGCACCTCCACTCTTTCCTATCCTGAGCTAAACTTCGCATTTCCCTAAAACTAAAACAACCCACATCCTTAACTATTTGCGAATAGGGTAGAGTTCTAGATGATGGTCCCCACCATCTTCGGGATGGGGTTGGGGGGGGGTCGAAAGAGGAGGTCTCCCCCACCATCATCATCATCATCATAAGGTCATCAGTCCTAAGACTGGTTGGACACGTACCTCCACTCTTTCCTATCCTGAGCTAAACTTCGCATTTCCCTAAAACTAGAACAACCCACATCCTTAACTATTTGCGAACAGTAATCTAATCTAGGTCTACCTCTACCCCTCCTAACTCCTGTTTCTGCCTCTAATATGTCTCTGACTAGACCTTCATGCCTNGTTCTAGATGATGGTCCCCACCATCATCATCATCATCATCATAAGGTCATCAGTCCTAAGACTGGTTGGACACGTACCTCCACTCTTTCCTATCCTGAGCTAAACTTCGCATTTCCCTAAAACTATATTAGAACAACCCTCATCCTTAACTATTTGTGAACAGTAATCTAATCTAGGTCTACCTCCACCCCTCCTAACTCACGTTTCTGCCTCTAATAAGTCTCTGACTAGACCTTCATGTCTAATAGTTCATAACATTTAGCATAACTCCAATAGATAAACAATGATTTGGTGGTCAATCTTAACCATTTTATCAATATTTTTCCCTTTATTATTAACGAATGAGTTACCAATTTCATCATACATTTAAAAAATTTCTGTTGATTTACTGAAAATCTATATTAAAGGAGGGTTTACAACAGGAACTAATGGTCTTATCTCCGTAACTATCACGTTATCTTTATGCTGAATACCTTAGGTTTTCTTATTACCAAGCAGTTTTGTTCAAAAGTATCGCGGCCCTTTTTTCCGTTAAATGTTACGTCACGATATGTCGCTGGTGACGGAAAGGAAATGCACCAGTTAACATTATTGTTATTGATTACAGTTGCATACTTGCCATGCATAGTTGCATACACTCGAAACACTTTACCGCATATACTCAACAAACTTAGCATAAGGGTGTAAAGTATATACATAGTACACTTTGGGGTCGTTGAACTTGGCTATTGTTTTTATCTTTCTTTGTATATGCAGACGTATTGGTTAGTTACTCTGTACGCATTTGCATTTGGAAATGTTTTTACGATAATGACCCCCGGCTTTGTTTAACCAATAACAAACTTGATTATCATTCGACAGAAGGTTTTACAAAAGTTACTTATCTACTTAGAAGTATGACGGTAAAATTTAAAAAATAACTAGAATTAGATATAGATTAGAATAGAAGACAAATTCGGATGACGCTTTAAACGAAAAGAATTGTAAGTAGGGTAAGGTCCTTACGTCAACTTGATTTTACATTGATGGCTTGTTTATGATGAGAAATCACGTCCCACACCGGGAAGTCTAGGTGAATTGCTAAGACAGAACTTTTTATAGTTTTATTTCATTTTATTAATGGACGTGTGTTAGTAATTTCACAAGTCTGTCAAAATCCATGTCACTGTCCCACTGTCACAACAAAATTCTAAATTATTCCCTCCAAGTTAATCCCACGTCCAGCCCATTTCGTCCTTCTTCCAGTGATCATTTTCGTACGCCGTTATCGATCAAAAGCGATCGACAAATAAATAATCTTTTTTTCCATTTGTTCCAGCATAATTGAAAGTTAACAACAAAAAAAAATGACTACAGACACGAATCCAGCTGTCCAAACGAACGGAGTCGACGATGTCACGCAGCAAGAAGAAGACGACGAGCGAGCGAAGATGCGTCCCGTCGACATTGACGCCGACGTCCGCGAAATGGAACGGCGAAAACGGGTCGAGGCCATCATGAACAGCAAGGTGAATAAATAATTTTTTACCAGTTCCTGATTCAGAGTGTTTGAATCGTCTTTTGTTTTTCCTTAGCTCTTTCGTGAAGAGCTCGAACGCATAATCGAGACCCAGTTGAGGGACGGCGTCGGTCCCGGAAGTCTCATGCAACAGATCTCGGACATGGTGGGAGGCGTTCCCGGACGTCATTCTGCGGGCACCTTTAAGGGCGCGGGATGCGTTTTGCCCATTAACGACATCCGTGGCGTCGAATCTATCGGCTATGCCAAAGGCGAAAAGATACTTCGATGCAAACTCGCCTCAGTCTTCCGATTGATGGACCTGTATGGCTGGACCCAGGGACTTGACTCTCAGATCACTGCCAGGTAAGAATCATCCCTTTTTGAACCTTCTTTGGCACTTGAAATAATTAAATTTTCGCCTGGAATATCCTAAAGAATTGTTCCTTCAATTTGTCTTTAATTTGTTTCAGATTAAACCAAGACCAAGAGCATTTCCTGGTGAATCCTACGGGTTTGTTGTATCACGAGTTGACCGCGTCAAGCTTGGTCAAGGTCGATATGCAGGGGAACGTTGTCGAACAGGGCACTACGAATTTCGGCATAAGTCTTTCGGGTTTCTCGCTTCACGCGGCAATACACGCCGCGCGTCCTGATATTAAGTGCATAATAAGTGTCCGCACTCCATCGGTGGCCGCGGTTTCCTCTCTAAAGTGCGGCCTGTTGCCGATTACTCAGGAATCGGTCGTGATCGGTGAAGTGAGTGCTCATCCGTTTTCAGGCGGACTTAACGATCCAGACGAGAAAGAGAAAGTGTCGCGGAATTTGGGACCCTTGAACAAAGTCCTGCTGCTCACAAATCAGGGTGAGTTACTTTTCGTTTTTATTATTAACTTCCCATTAGGAAGTTATTGTAATTGGGTCGAAAAGTGAAATCGGAATTTTCATTATATTTCCACGTTTTAACATATTAGTAGCATGCTAGCCAATTTTTTTGATGATGTGTGTATGTACGTACGTACGTACGTACGTACGTACGTACGTACGTTCGTATGTCAGCATTTTTTTCGTTTTCGATATCTCAAGAACGGATTGAGATATCGCCCTCAACCAAAATTTTTTCGAAAGATATTATCATAATGAAGATCTGAAAGAAATTTGAACGAAATCGGTCAAGCCGTTTTTTTTTTATAAAAAAAAAAACGAATTAATTACAAACAATTTAATTAAAATACGTTCTAATCTAATCACAACAATGAAGTTACGGAATCAATAATAACGAAATATCATTATTCAAGACAGGGAATAACATATTATAATAACATATTATAATAAAAATTTGTTTATAACAAAATGAATTGTTATAAACAATCGATAAACAATAAAAAATAGTATTTACCAATTGACTGATGCAAGTACTCTATCAATTCGGTTTTCTCAGACGAAATACTGTTTCTTATGGGTTTATAAAATGACGAACTCTCAAACATTGTTTGTTATTTATTATTGTGCCGCGTTTTTTTCAAACTTTAGAAACGAATGTACTTTACAATAACTGTATTATCTAATGGGAAGTTAGTCGTATTAGCACCGACCAAAATGTGCTCAGACCAATTTTTTTTATTTTTTTATTTATTTTTCATTACGTCTTTGTTAGGTTATTTGATTCGCGAATAAAAAGAGAGTTAAATTTTATTAAAAAACAGTAAACCTAAATCTGTAGGTATTTATTTTATTAATTCTTTCAATGACTTAATCGCGTTAATCTTGATATTTTGTTATGATTGTTTGTCATATACTCTGCGATATTACAAAATTAGCTTTTGCTAAGCGATGAACTTAATGAATTGCGACCATGAAATTTCTAACTTGAAACTTTGTGTCCACGAAGTTGTACCCTTAAAACACTAGGCTGCAAAGGTAAGGCTTATGTATTTTACTGAATGGCGAATATAGGAACCTCATTATCTTATAAGAATCATGTATGAAAAGGTATTTCCTCTAAATGTTGCATCCAGAAAGCTGTAAAGGATATAGTACGGACATTAGAATGTTTTTATTGTAGTTTCGCATTCGTCCTGACATACCTACGGTCGCAACGGTCAGATTTTAACAATTCACGGCTGCGAGTGTCCTTAATTAGTAGTTTCGTAGTCGACTTTGTATACTCGCAAGCGCGATGATCATATTTTCATACTTCGCGGATGCGAGTGCCTTTAAGCATGTTTTTCAGTCGACCTTACATACTCGCAGCGGCGAAGTTCAGATTTTGACAATTTACTGCTGCGAGTGCCTTTAAGCAGTAGTTTTTCAGTCGACCTTACTTACTCGCAGCGGCGAAGGCCAGATTTTGATACTTCACGACTGTGAGTGATTTAAGCAGTAGTTTTTCAGTCGACCTTACATACTCGCAGCGGCGAAGGCCAGATTTTGACAATTTACTGCTGCGAGTGCCTTTAAGCAGTAGTTTTTCAGTCGACCTTACATACATACTCGCAGCGGCGAAGGCCAGATTTTGACAATTTAATGCTGCGAGTGCCTTTAAGCAGTAGCTTTTCAGTCGGTCTTATATACTCGCAGCGGCGAAGGCCAGATTTTGACAATTTAATGCTGCGAGTGCCTTTAAGCAGTAGTGTTTCATTCGGCCTTACATACTCGCAGCGGCGAAGGCTAGATTTTGACAATTTAATGTTGCGAGTGCCTTTAAGCAGTAGTGTTTCATTCGGCCTTACATACTCGCAGCGGCGAAGGCTAGATTTTGACAATTTACTGCTGCGAGTGCCTTTAAGCAGTAGCTTTTCAGTCGATCTTATATACTCGCAGAGGCGAAGGCCATATTTCAGTAATTCACTGCAACGGGGGGCTTTGAGCAGTAGTTTCGCACTCACCCTTCTATATTCGCAACGGCGAATGCCAGGTTTTCATACTTCGCGGCTGCGAGTGCGTTTAGGCATTAGTTTTGCAGTCGACTTTATATACTCGCAGCGGCGAAGGCCAGATTTTGATACTTCACGGCTGTGAGTGATTTAAGCAGTAGTGTTTCATTCGGCCTTACATACTCGCAGCGGCGAAGCCCACATTTTAACAATTCACAGCAGCAAGTGACTTCGTAGTCGACCTTACGTACTCGGAGCGGTGAAGGTCAGATTTTGGCAGTTGACGGAAGCGAGTGTCTTTAATTAGTAGTTTCGCGGTCGACCTTGTGTACTCGCAGCGGCTAAGGTTAGATATTGATACTTCACGGCTGCGAGTATCTTTAAGAAGTAGTTTTGCGGTTGATATTATATACTCGAAACTGCGGAAGTCAGATTTTGACAATTCTCGGCAGCGAGTGTCCTTAATTAGTACCTAGTTTCGCAGCCGGTCTTGCATACTCACAACGATGTAGGCCAGATTTTGACAATTTTCTGCTGCGACTGTCTTTAAGCAGTAGCTTCGCCATCGTTCTTCTGTATTCGCAAAGGCGAAGGCCAGATTTTGGCAATTCACAACTGCGAGAGCCTTTACGTAGTAGTTTTCTGGTCTACCTTTCATAGTTACTCGCGGCGACGAAGGCCAGATTTTGGTAGTTCACAGAAATGAGTGGCTTTAAGCAGTTGTTTCGCAGTCGACCTTACATATTCGTAGCGGCGAACACTAGATTTTGGACAATGCACTGCTGTGAGTGTTTTTAAGCAGTAATTTCACCGTCGACCTTGTATACTCGCAGCCTCGAAGGCCAGATCTTGACAATCCGTGACTGCGTTAACAAGCGACTCTGCATCCTCACGACAGGGAAGACCAAACCTTGACGATTCATCGCCGTAAATGATTTTGATCAATAGTTCTGTGGTCGACCTTGCGAAACTTGACCGCGAACGTCAGGTCTTGACATTTTTCTTATTTTCAGGCGCTGTTTGCTGCGGCGAAACAATCGAGGAAGCGTTCTTTAACGTGAAGAACACCGTCCTGGCGTGCGAAACGCAGCTCAAACTGATGCCCGCGGGCATCGACAATCTCGTCCTATTGTCAGACGAGACGCGCAAAAAAATGTACGACGCCGCGCGAAAACCGCCCCACAATACTCCCAGACCCGATCAGCACACTGTCCTCGAGGAGAAGCTCGAAAGGAAATTCCGCGTCGGTGGCACCGAGTTCGAGGCGCTCATGAGGATGCTGGACAACGCCGGCTTCCGAACGGGCTACATCTACAGACACCCGCTGGTAAAGACGGAACCGCCAAGACCTAAAAATGATGTGGAATTGCCCCCTGCAGTATCATCACTTGGCTATCTCCTGGAAGAAGAAGAACTATATAAACAAGGGTAAGTGTCTCCTACTTGAATTCTTGTTAATTTTGTACGATTTTGTCCCTCATTCAGTAGTCAACTTTGATTTTCATTTTCAAGTTGTCTGTCAGAATTTTCTCTAACGTGAAATTCGTGTTTCCTTTTTGTGAATGTGGAAACGTTGTTGCAGATTGTGGAAGCGATTGGATGGAAGGCGTGGTAATGATCGTACGCGATGGCTGAACTCCCCCAATGTCTATCAGAAGGTGGAAATACTCGAAACTGGCACCCCGGACCCTAAAAAGATAACAAAGGTAGAATACATTAAGTTTGAAGATAAGAGTGAATAGAATTGCTATCGATAGACTAAAACGATCCATTCTAATCACTGGCCATATTTAATATATATATATTTATCGTAAAAATGATGGTACTCACAGTACATTTCCGTAATTTTTGAAGTTATAGTCGTAATACGCAATTTTTTGGTCGCTTAATTAATTTTACGAATTGTAGTAAGCTTTAAAAGTGAACAAAAAAAATCAAAAAAGAAAATTAAGTTTAGTAGTAACTTGTAGGTACTCGTACATATATATTGCTATTATTGTATTTAAGAAGGGGGTAGGGGTGTGTGTCCAATCTGTACGTCGTATATAAATGTGCAATTTTCAACAAAATACGTATGTAATTTAGATCCATTTTTTTATTAATTTTATTTTTCCGGTGAATGTAATTGTTGTTTTTAATTATGTCCCACGAGGTGATGATTAACTAATAACTTTTTAAGAAAGCAGATGGAATTTCTTGTGCCATACGATAACAGTTTTGTTTAAAATTACAAAAGGAAAACCGTTGATCTCATCGTAGTAATATTATTCTAAAAAACAAACATTAACGATGCAATTTACAACGTAGTTCTAATGTTGCTGTGACTTCTTTTGTCCATATTGGAACAATAGCTTTTGTTTTTTCTTTTTCTTTTTTTTCAAGTGAAAAACAAGTCTTAAAAGTTTATATGATCATATGGTACAAATATTTTAAATTATTAATCCCATAGACAGACATTTATTTTAAAGAATATATTTTATATAGTTAAAATACGTTATTTGGAAAAAATACTCGTCAATTGTCAGAAAACGTCCAATTTTTGAAGTCCGCAAATACTACTACAGTTACAAAAAAATTATTTTGAAAATATGTCAATTTATTCTTTTAAATTATATCTTTTAGCATTTGGCAGTACCAAAACTGACAAAATGTTTATTTTTGTAACGTTTAATCGCACAATTTCGCCATTTATAAAAGTTGCCATAAAAACCAAAACGCCCGATAAAAATCTCAGTTTCGTCTTTTTATCCGTTGGTCTAGTATTTAGCGACCCATTTTCCATTAAGAGGCAATAAACATAATCGTACACATTCCACTATTATTATTGAGAGCGGTTGTTTGTTTATTATTGTGTTCCTTAAGTCTAATAGAAAGTGCACGCAGCTTTTGCCATTTTATTATAGGATTTTATTCGCAATTATATTTTTTGATTGGGTGACCCATTTTCTCACATAAACTTATGATAAATTAATTTTCGTTGAACTTGTTTTGTAACAGATTGTTATTTAACTTTATTAAATTAAATGCATACGATTAAAATACAAACAGTAGAAGTCGAAACTTTTGCATCTATTAAGCAATTTGAAAGTTACGTATTTTGTGAATATATTTCGCTGTGCTATGACTTTTATTATAATAATTATAGTTAGGTACCTATTTTAATATTATTATATTCAGTCTATGCCTTGATTCAATTATGCTGTAATTTGTAATAAACATTCCATGTATTCGGATGTTTCTGTGTTTCTTTTAATTCCTGTTTAACAAGGGTTCACAATTAAACAATTGTAAATCAATGGTCCAAACAATTAAAACAAGAGAGAAGCACGAAACAGTAGACTAACGATTAGATGTATAAAACAAAGTGGTATCAACATTAGGTAGAAATGCACGAAACAACCAAAAAAAGTTGAAGTGTTTCGGAAAATGTTTTTTTTTTTTGGTGTTGTAAGTCACTTCGGTCGAAGTGTGCTATGCCCGTCTACGAAACCAGTACATTGGTGACACGAACGGCAAAACACCGGCCGGTGGCTTACCCTTTCTCACCCTCACCCCCTTCTCACTACAACCTTCGAAACCATAACAAACAAATACACATTCAGTTTTTATTAGACTACAAAAGAACAAAAGAAAATAATGTTTTTTGTTCTTATCTAACTATCAAACGCTTTTTGAATGAATATTGTAGATAACGCGAAGTTTTTTGTCACTAATGTGCTGGTTTTGTTACAGTGGGTGGCTGAGGGGTCTCCGACACACTCTAGCACCCCCGTTAAGATCGACGCCGCCCTCCAGTTCGTCCCAAAAAATACCAACCCCAAGGAATTCAAACGGTTGCAACAACAGGTAAGTGATCATTTGTTTTTTGTTTTATGATTTTGAAATACGAGTTTTTTAAACATAATTTTTGTATATCGGGCACCAAAGGTAAGTAAGTTATTGTTTCTAAGTTTCACACCGCTAAATACCTAAAATAAATTTTTATTTTACTTAATTAACGATTGACCTAAATTACTTTTAATTAGTTACCGTCTACCAAAGGCGGAGATATAAACTGACAGAAACTAGGGTACATCGTTGTTTTTAATTTCGAATAATTTTTTTTAGGCAAATTATTGTAGGTAACTATAAAGTTTAACAAAAAATGTTAACAATAATCGTAAATATGGTATATAACGTAATTACAGCGACAATTGACTGTCGTGTCCTGATGTTGATAGTGTTTTTTTTTTATCGCGAATTGTTTCATTCACAATCAGTTGTTTACGAATGGCCCTCAAAACTACATACTATCATCCGGAGGTCTGTAATGTGTTGGACAGCCTTGTGAAAAGGTTAATTAAAGTCAAATTGGGCTTGCTATGTAGTGACGCAACTGTTTAAACGAAAATAGAATCAAACTTATTTACAGACGTGGATGTGCATATGTATATATATATTTAATAGCAAAGGGTTGCCGACTGTTTATTTATTTATTTAATAGTGACGTGTAAAATGTGTGTCTTCAATGGCATGCACACTATGCGCTAGTACGAAGAGTACCGTTAACAAAAATAGATTCACCGACGAGCCAGAACGGCTTTGGTTTATTTAATTTTATCGCAGGTCATGGTTCATGCGTTAGCTTACTTCCTGCCTGGACTTTATACCAAACACATCCGGTTGTGTTTGATGAAAGGGTTGTAGAATTACCGAAAATACGTTCGTATCTAGTCTTTTTTTAAAATGTTTTTGTAAGTAAGACAGCCGGACGTATGTGGAAAGGGAACAAGGGTGAAATAGTGACGCGTTTGTAGGCGCGAGGGGGTGGGGTCCTTGAAGGGTCAACAATTCAAGAAAAATTCGTATAAATATCTTGAAAACAATGTCAAATAACAACAACAAAATTCAACGTTGGTATTTCGCGTAGATAAAAGACTATCGACGAGCAGACAAAATATCCGCGGGTCCTCAGTCTCACATCCTGGAGGGTGTGACATGGGAGGAAGCGAAGAAAATGCAGGACGCGACGGTGACCCAGACGGGCGACCACGTCGTCCTCATGGGTGCCGCGTCCAAGGGGATCATCCAGCGCGACTTCCAACACAACGCCATGGTATACAAGTCGCCGTATGCCAAAAATCCATTCGATTGCGTGACCGACGAAGAACTCGACGAGTACAAAAAGACGATCGAACGAAAAGCTAAGGGAGAATGTAAGTCGTGACGGTTGTCCGTGGTTGAATTGCGGATCGAAAAGGTTTTTTTTTTTAATCTTTCAGATGACACAGATTTTAGCGAATCTGAGGGACTATCTTCTTCTAATAAACGAATCGACGGTAATGTTCAGTCACCCTTATCGGCAGCTAGTGAAACTGAAGAGGAAAGCAAAGACGGTTAGTGTTTATTATCAGTTTAAAACCGCCCTTAAATCTTGTCAGGGGTGACAGGTATACATAGCATAAAGCATTGCGCTCATTTTACGTTTATTACAGAACCTCAAGTTCTCAGAATACAAACATCGCAGGCTCCTAAACCTAGCCAACCTGAAGTAGTTTTAAGTGACGGTAAGTGTTAATAAACATTTGAATGTTTCCTTTAAAATAATATTTTAAGTAATTTCTAAAAGGAAAAAAAAACAAAAGAAACTAGCGATAAACGCACTCTATAGATATTACATATAATATAATGATGTCGCCTTCTTTTAAAGCAATTAAAACTCATAAGTGATGGGGTGAGTTTTTCAGTTAGGAAAACGAGAGCGAAAGACTTAGAAGCATCTCTGTTTTGAATTGTTTCGAAACAAAAAAAAATTACTTAGAATTCACTTACAGCTAAAATAGAGATCTAAAATTGCAGATTATTATTATAATTTTTACAAATATTAGACGGGTTTAGATGGGCGCACGCTTTTTTTTTGAAATTTTTGCATTTGCCGCAAAGTGTTCCGATTTAAGTGATAGCTTTAGCGACAAATTTTAATTCTTATTGTACATGCAGCACAAAAAAAAGTGAATTTAATTAAAAAAAAGTTGTTGCTGCTGTCATACCCTCGCCGGGAATCGAACCCTTTGGCTTTACGCACCGAACTACGAAAGGTGACAGCAGGAACAACGATGAAACGTATTGATTAGGTCCAACTAATGTATCGTATGAAATACTTTAGGAAGTTCTTAATAGTGGTTAATGTTTGATATTAATATGAATATTCGTGTAATTTCCATTCCTTAGCATGTGTCAAGAGTACAAGGTGTCTTGTGACAGCTTTTTAAATTGGCGTTACGTCCAATATTATTTTTATGAAACTTTCTTTCAAACACCGGCACATTTAATGCATGTTTAAATTTTTTTGCATGAGCAGTAGACACTCCTGTACAGCATCGCAAAGTTGAACGAATTTCAGTGAGCAGCAATAGAAGTAAGTGGGTGATCGGCGAGGGTTGTTTGGTGTGGGGTGGTTTTTTTTTTGTGTTTTTGTTTTATGCAACTTGAATCGTCGCGCATAAAAAATCGTTAAAGCCTTCATCTTTCTTGCGCCCTTTCGAGATCTGTTTGGTGGCATATTAACCCCCCTCTAAACAACATTTTGCTCTCTTTCAGGTGTTAGAGCTGTTAAGGTTCTATCGCAAGCAATACAAGTGACTAGACCCAGTTTTTATCGCACTTACAGTCATTTCGGGTTCCCGAAGGGTTCTTACGCTCTTCCAAATCCCACCCATTTTCATATCGCACGCATCACGCGCACCCCTAAAAGCATGATACCGATTTTGAGATCGCGAATTCATAATCCTGGCTGCTCAGGTCGTCCTGGACGAGCCTTTTTTGACGTACCATTACGAAACCAAGTCGACGTTCGGCCCATCGTTACCATAAATATTGGAGACGCGCAAGCCCTTACCCTTTCCATTTCGATGCAGACGTTACGCGAGTTTATCTACCCCTTTGCGAGCACCCTACAGGCAAATCGAGGCGTACGAACGAGAACTGCAGGGTGCCAAACTAGTTTCTTGGGGGAAGCCACAGAACCCTTTGGGTTTTCGTCGACCAGAATTTTACAGCATCCGATGATGAATAACGACAGTGACGACGGGTCCGATTACGAGAAAGATATTATAGAAAAAATGCACATTTCTTTGGTTAATGAGGTGGGCAGTAAAAGTCCGTGTGACGAAAGTGGGGATGAAAGCGAAAATCATTTACAATTAGATCCAAGAAAGAAAATCGAGACCCAAATTGTTACTCTTGCGGAACAGTTGACTAATAAAGTTTTAGAAATAGGCGGAGATTGTAAACTATTTAAAAGGGTGGTTATGGATGCGTTGGAATTGTTAAATATGTTGCCTTTTAATGGCGTTTCGAATGACGAAATAATAGCGAATTCCACAAACAACATTTTTGATAATAATACGCTGAATGGTATGCCTTTCCGGAACACTTCAACGCAGGAATTGATTCAAAACGTCACGAATAACATAACAGATGGAAACTTTTTCAAATACTTACCCTTCCATTCGTCATCCTCGAGTGAAGATGTTATATCTACTGCTTCGTCTGTTTCGAGTGTTAAACACAATTTCAATAATCAAATTCAAAAAGAAAGCGAGGAAACTCTTGCTGCTGATAATAAAGACGATTCAAAATCAGTTAAAGGTACGGATATACCAGGCAAAGTCCTGACTATGTCGTACGTACTCGAGGATATTGAGGAGGAAGAAGAAGTAGAGGAAATTGTCGAAAACTCTAAAGAGACCAATTCCGTCAATACTGAAAAAGTTGATATTGAAAACTTCAAAAAAATTATCGACCAGATTATCAACAGGTCTCTCTCCTTTTGGTATGAAACTACATCGAAAGCAGAATTTTCGGAAATGGAATATGTTAGTTTCTACTCTGAAAAGAAACCTGACTCTAATGAGTCAGACGTGAAAATAATTTCTATCGAAGAAAAAGTGGTTAATGAGCCTAACAATGATAATGCTTCAGTAGCCAATATTTGCTGCGATCCCTCCGAAAACAGTCGGGACGAAGGGATAAGTGCTTGCAGTATTTGTTCCCCTGAAAATTCTGAAAAGTCCATTTGGCTTCTACCCGAAAAGGACGAGAAGGTTATCAAAATGTCCGAGGTGATTTACGAATATTTACTTAAGCAGTGTTTCGAAATAAAAGAACTGCTAATTTTTCCTGAAATCGTCCACGATCCTTGCGTATCGAAGTTGTTCGACAACTTAAAAAGGTTATACCTCCAGTACTGCGGCGACAAATTGTCTAACGAACAAAAAAACGAACTGCGACTAAAAATGTCTGCGTACATAATAAAAAAACTCGAAATAGAAGAAAAATCCGAAGGGACCAACGAGAGCTACGAAGTTTCTGACAAGATATTCACCATAAGCGAGTTTGTGGCCGATATTTTAGACATGTTCTTCGAGAAGCATGTGCCAGAGTGTGCTGATAGGTCGCCATGTTCTGACAATGGCACAGCATTCAACGATTTCATCCTCGAAAACATGACCAGCGCGAGTCATTCGACCCCGAATCGAGAATTGAAAGAGACCAAAAAGGATGACGTTGTTGTGGAAAAGGAAAAGGTTTTGCCCAAAGCCGAAAGTTCTAAAAAGGAAAAAAGGCCTAGCATTGGTAACTTCGAATTGGTCACAGCGTTTAAGACGAAACAATCGGAAAAATCCGGCAATGAAAAGTATTGGATTTCAATCAGTCCAACTACCGAAAAACCGTTGCAACCCTGGACAAAAAACCCCGTTGCCACGCGGGTAATAAACGTGGACGACATACCTCTAAAACCACCCGCAGATCTCCTTCTGCGTCATCCGGAACCCGCCAGCAACAACCACCAAAATCTCTCCCCAATCGAAGAAGAACCTAGACGCATCTTATTTTCCGACAAATCTGAAGAATCGGACGATGAAGATTTCGAAACTCTTCTTCTAATGACAAAAAACAGCAAACTGAGTGCCGCCAGGGACAGCCTCATTATCCAAAAACAAAATTTTTCCACAAAAAGTGTTTCCTCCCTCGAAAACTCCATCCCCCTCGATAACATTTCAGCCGCAGGTATCGAAAGCGTATCGTGTTCGAACCACCACACTTTGATTCATAAAAAGCAAACGGAAATATGCGAATGCGAAAGGGGTTGTGACGTCCTGGCTGGCGGTGATACCGACCAGTTACCCTCCTACGTTAACTTCGGGGAGTTTCCGGAACCGTGCGAGAAAATAGTCTGCCGTAATGCAGCCCAATTTGTGAGGGTTGAAAACAACAACGAGTCCGTTGCTTATTTGCAAAGGGTGAATTTGGTTTTGAAACAGGGCAATTGTAAATTGAATTGCGACAATATTATTTCCGGTTTTAACAATAACAACACTCCGTCAATTTATTCGGAAGATTCTAAAACTACTAGCGAAACGTCTATGAAAGGATCGAGTACAAATCAGAATGCCCTGAACGAAAACGAAGAAGGAAACTGGATGGGCTTCGACTTGGCAAAATTTTGACTGTTTTATGTACCAAGAATCCGTTAAAAAAAAAAAAATAATGGAATATTCCCATGGTTATATTTCAATAAATAAATCGTTATTTTCGTTCCATGTCTTACGTTAAATAAATTGTTCTACTATGTTTTCATTTTCATCCTTTAACCTGCTACCTTCATTCTCATTTACAACAGCACTGTTTGTTGCTTTATATCACGCGTGTGCTTTTTTTTATATATATAAAAAAAAAATTTTTGTCAGTGTTTGAAGAGCCTAAGTGTGAAGGTTTTTGAACTAGCCAGGTATTTAACAATAAATACGTACTTACTGCATGCATTAACATTTTTGTCTGTAGCTGTTTTTTTTTGTTGGTTTGGAAATAAAGCCCTCTAGTCTAAGTTCATGTTTCGTTGTTAACTGTTTTTAATTTATAGGTGAAAATACTGTCAACGGCGATCATTCAGATGCCCATCTAAGTACGATATCACAAAGTAGTAAAGAAGTAAGTGGTAAACTAATAAAGAAATATTGAATCAATTTTTTTTCATAGTGAGGAACGTTAAAGTTGTATTTGTTTCTTTTACATTGTAAATTACTATTTACAAATATTTTTTTTAATATTGAAAAGTGATTGAACTAATTTTTGTTTGTTTATTTTTAATACGAGTTCAATATTGTGCATAGAATAATTTTTAAGGGTTGTATTTGTTTCTATTAAAGTGTGAATTATTGTTAGAACTTACGAAAAAAATTTTTACGTTTCGTGATGTTCAGAGGGTGAATTGTTTTGTTTCTGTATGTAAAAATGATCGATTTGACTAATTTTTGTTTGTTTATTTTAATCAATAGGGTTCATCGGTTCAAGATCGCTCCGTGTCCGAAGGATCGCCCAAAAAGGACAAGAAGAAAAAGAAAGGATTGAGAACGCCCTCTTTCTTGAAGAAGAAAAAAGAAAAGAAAGTTCGCGAATCAGCATAGGTACATAGTAATTAGATTAATCAGTTATTACTTTCAATTTTGATATATTTTACTGTCTACCTACTGTTAAAATTGTTCCAGAGGTAGTGATATTTTTTTTTTAATTCGTTTTGTCCTGTTCAATAGACACTGCCATTGTGCAAGAATTTTGGAACGCCTCATGAATAATTTAAAAACGCAAAAGCCTCCCCACCGGGACTGCCATCTACTATTACTCAAATAAATGAAAAAATAATTAAAAACAAAATAAAAATACCGTAGGTCATAGCTTAATAATATTTGTTTGAGTGCAGCTGTTAGAATATACGATTTGCACTACATTTCTGCGAACGAACTGCATTTTATTTTAATATTCTCTTTTTTTTGTTTTTTAATAATTGTGAGTTACATTATTAAAATTATGATTACATTACAATAATTAATTGATAATATATAATATTATCGTATAGCTTTATTTGTACAGATAAATATAGTAAAAAGTTTTATGAATCGATGTGTGACAAAGACTTGGACTGCAGTGACTGCTATTATTATTTCACATTGTCTGTTTTCCTTATTTTACCTTTTAGTTACTTTACAGGGTGGTTTTTGAAATTTTAAACGTATTTTTTGAAATTTTGTCAAACTATTTAGTTGTAACATTTTCTGTTTTATAAAAATAGCCCTAAATATTGTCAGTTGTTTTCTGAAATGCATAAACTTAATTGTTTTAAGTAATTTATCCCATTCTAAAATGCTGGATGTATTAATTTTAATTGAATCAATTGATTTTCAACAGTTTTTGTGAATTGTNGAAAATTACACTCGGAAAAAAAGCTTTTTCTCAGTACCAATTAAAAAATAAATTCACACTTTATTAATTACACAATTAATAAAAACAGATCCTTTAAGCAATATTTTTGATTGGCAATGAGAGCAAGTATTCGGAAAAGAAAGAAAAGAAAATTACACTCGGAAAAAAAGCTTTTCTCAGTTACAGATGAAATTTTGGTAAGTTTAAAAATGCCAATTGAATATGTAAAGTATGCAGTAATCATCGGATTATTTTCTGTTTAGTAAGTTTTTAAAAATTTTTGTTTCTACAGATGTGAAATACATTTATGAACGCTTAAATTGTTAAATTTAAAAAGTAACATTATTGTTGGAATTTTGTGTTGATATTTCTTCGATAATTTTAAAAAATAATGAAGACAAAGGTACATATATATCTTACCCTAAGTGAAAAAAATTAAAAATTTTTAAAAATTTTGAATTTTTCATCAACACCAAATACGACCTCATACGGCTCATATTGTTCGCGCTGAGACGGGGCATCCGTCCGTGAAAGAATTTTTCCAATAAGTCGTACCGTTTTCGAGCTACAGGGTACAAAATGTCAAATTTGAAAATTTTTCGCTCAGGAACATGGCCGCAGTTGAAAATTCATAGCTCCTCATCTCGACGTCCGATGCGTTCGAGTCATTGATGGTTCGAAGCCCAATGCATGGGGGAAATTTTTGATAAAAACCCCATTGACCTATGACATTCCCGGCCTGCTCTAGCGCCAACCGAATTCACGTAATTTACCCTACTTTTCGTTTTAGCGTTTTCCTGAGTCGACAGTATGGCTCATATTTTCTGATTAAATTGTCAGATTTCTATGGGAGTGTTATAAAAAATTTCTAGAGACATTGTGCATCACGTCGAGATCAAAAGCGCCGCTTTACGATATTCCCTTACAGAGTTACAGCTGCCGGAAATTTTGGCCCAGTGTTATTTTTAAAATCGAGAATTAAATGTTTAGGAGAACATATCTGGCGAACTATTAAAGATAGAGCAAAAATTCTTTCACCAACGGTTGGCCCGTGCCTAAAACTACGGGAAAAATTTAATTTTGAACAAAAAAAAATTAAAAAATTTTGAATTTTTCATCAACGCCGAATGCGACCTCATACGGCTCATATTGTTCGCGCTGAGACGGGGCATCCGTCTGTGAAAGAATTTTTCGGATAAGTGGTTCCGTTTTCGAGCTACAGGGTACAAAAGGCCAAATTTGTAAATTTTTCGCTCAGGAACATGGCCGCAGTTGAAAATTCATAGCTCCTCACCTCGACGTCCGATGCGTTCCAGTTATAGATGGTTCGAAACCCAATGCATGGGGGAAGTTTTTGATAACAACCCCATTGACCTATGACATTCCCGGCCTGCTCTAGCGCCAACCGAATTCGCGTAATTTACCCTACTTTTCGTTTTAGCGTTTTTCTGAGTCGACAGTATGGCTCATATTTTCTGATTAAATTGTCCGATTTCTATGCGAGTGTTATCAAAATTTTCTAGAGACACTGTGCATCACGTCGAGATCAAAAGCGCCGCTTTACGATATTCCCTTACAGAGTTACAGCTGCCGGAAATTTTGGCCCAGTGTTATTTTTAAAATCGAGAATTAAATGTTTAGGAGAACATATCTGGCGAACTATTAAAGATAGAGCAAAAATTCTTTCACCAACGGTTGGCCCGTGCCTAAAACTACGGGAAAAATTTAATTTTGAACAAAAAAAAATTAAAAAATTTTGAATTTTTCATCAACGCCGAATGCGACCTCATACGGCTCATATTGTTCGCGCTGAGACGGGGCATCCGTCTGTGAAAGAATTTTTCGGATAAGTGGTACCGTTTTCGAGCTACAGGGTACAAAAGGCCAAATTTGAAAATTTTTCGCTCAGGAACATGGCCGCAGTTGAAAATTCATAGCTCCTCACCTCGACGTCCGATGCGTTCCAGTTATAGATGGTTCGAAACCCAATGCATGGGGGAAGTTTTTGATAACAACCCCATTGACCTATGACATTCCCGGCCTGCTCTAGCGCCAACCGAATTCGCGTAATTTACCCTACTTTTCGTTTTAGCGTTTTTCTGAGTCGACAGTATGGCTCATATTTTCTGATTAAATTGTCCGATTTCTATGCGAGTGTTATCAAAATTTTCTAGAGACACTGTGCATCACGTCGAGATCAAAAGCGCCGCTTTACGATATTCCCTTACAGAGTTACAGCTGCCGGAAATTTTGGCCCAGTGTTATTTTTAAAATCGAGAATTAAATGTTTAGGAGAACATATCTGGCGAACTATTAAAGATAGAGCAAAAATTCTTTCACCAACGGTTGGCCCGTGCCTAAAACTACGGGAAAAATTTAATTTTGAACAAAAAAAAATTAAAAAATTTTGAATTTTTCATCAACGCCGAATGCGACCTCATACGGCTCATATTGTTCGCGCTGAGACGGGGCATCCGTCTGTGAAAGAATTTTTCGGATAAGTGGTACCGTTTTCGAGCTACAGGGTACAAAAGGCCAAATTTGAAAATTTTTCGCTCAGGAACATGGCCGCAGTTGAAAATTCATAGCTCCTCACCTCGACGTCCGATGCGTTCCAGTTATAGATGGTTCGAAACCCAATGCATGGGGGAAGTTTTTGATAACAACCCCATTGACCTATGACATTCCCGGCCTGCTCTAGCGCCAACCGAATTCGCGTAATTTACCCTACTTTTCGTTTTAGCGTTTTTCTGAGTCGACAGTATGGCTCATATTTTCTGATTAAATTGTCCGATTTCTATGCGAGTGTTATCAAAATTTTCTAGAGACACTGTGCATCACGTCGAGATCAAAAGCGCCGCTTTACGATATTCCCTTACAGAGTTACAGCTGCCGGAAATTTTGGCCCAGTGTTATTTTTAAAATCGAGAATTAAATGTTTAGGAGAACATATCTGGCGAACTATTAAAGATAGAGCAAAAATTCTTTCACCAACGGTTGGCCCGTGCCTAAAACTACGGGAAAAATTTAATTTTGAACAAAAAAAAATTAAAAAATTTTGAATTTTTCATCAACGCCGAATGCGACCTCATACGGCTCATATTGTTCGCGCTGAGACGGGGCATCCGTCTGTGAAAGAATTTTTCGGATAAGTGGTACCGTTTTCGAGCTACAGGGTACAAAAGGCCAAATTTGAAAATTTTTCGCTCAGGAACATGGCCGCAGTTGAAAATTCATAGCTCCTCACCTCGACGTCCGATGCGTTCCAGTTATAGATGGTTCGAAACCCAATGCATGGGGGAAGTTTTTGATAAAAACCCCATTGACCTATGACATTCCCAGC